AATTGTATCTGTGACCAGTGCTTTCATCTAATCACATTATTTTAAAGTTCCTTTGGTAATTTGTCCTTAATTCCACATAAACTGCTGTTCTGGCATAAAGTGTACTTTGCGATATCAAAGTCAAACAGATTAGGCATGATCCACTTTCAGCAAGGGAATCTTTTGGAGAGGAGACCATACAACTTAAAAGCTAAAGCTGGCTCCCTATTTTAATTAAAGGGGATTAAACATCCATCATGATAAGGAAACGGGGACATTTTATAAAATCAATTACCATCCTCAGTGTCACTCTGGTTTAACACCTGCAGCTTCCGAGAGAAATAATACAGTTTAACATCCCATTAGTCCTTACAGGAGGTATATTAAATATTGTTGCTACACAGCAAGATCGGTTACAAACTATCTGAGAAAAATAACCTTATTACCCAGCCAGGTGTTCCTCTGTTGACAAAACAAGAGAGAGACATTAGGCCTCCAAAATGCATCCATCAAATTCACATTATTGAGATTTAAAGTTTCCTTTGGCACTTCCCTCTCGCGGGAAGCCCTTGAGGTGGGTATTGGACGTTTTTTATAGAGATGAAGCAAAGTGCTGGTGGAGCGCGGCCGCGTTTAAAATCGCGCTTTTGAAATCGCAAGGGCTGAGACGCACGCGTTCCTCAGCGAAATGCCATAATAACCATGAAGTATAAGCCTTGGCATTCAGTTTTGTTGCTTCTGTCATTATAAAACACAGTCTTCTGTTAGCGTCGTTTGACAATCTGCTCTATTTTAGGTCCCAGCATATGAATGTATGAGGTAATTATACATAATACGTATAATTGATACAGTAAAATCTCCCACCACGAGAGATTTAATATAGGGCTGCAAAACGAAATACATTCAAACTTCTGAAAAATAAACAAAAGGCAGACCATGAAAAAGTTGTAATTAAACTACTAATGGGAGAGGGACGTTTTCTTGTCATCTGAGAAACCAGCAAGTGAGAGACTCAATCTGGCAGCTCCCTGCCCGAGAAGCTTAACGCCGAGTTACGCAACAGCTCCCGACTCCGGGGAGGTTTGGTGGGAAGTGCCCGCACCTTCCAGGCCACCTCTGCAGCCTGTCAGATGGATTTTCCTGTTAAAAACACCACCGGTGTGTGACTACAACGCAGACACCCGAGAAAAGGCCCATCAGGAGCGATGAGCATCTTCGACACCGAGACAAGCGGAACCCAAAAGGGGCAGGATGGATCCCTCCGCTGCAGCAATCGTTACGGCTAAAGACACGTAACGCTGCTCCTTCTTCTTGGAACAAGCCGACAGAATTTAAGAAATAAATGCACTGCAATCTACAGGCAGGGATAAATCATTTAATGAGACTGGAAGCAGCAGAAAAGCTGTCTTCCATTAACCCCTTTCCTCTCCCTCATCAGCGGACGACCCTTCGCTGCTCAAGTGCTTCACTTAGCGCTGAACAATTCTTTAACCTGCATCCCCAGTGACACGACTCTGCGCGTTGCTGCAGCCTCCTCTAGTCCGCTTATGGGAAGAAACAGGACAAGAAAGCGTTGGCAGCAGGACTTCTCCGCAGTGACAGAGACACACATTAATCAACGAGTTGTATGACTAAGCAGATGCTCATTAGGTTGTACAAAGAAGCCATCTTCTGTTGTTGAGCCACGGGTATTTATTTCAACTGCAATCCAAGCAGTCCCCAAAGCACCTGTTTTGCAGGAGGTATCACCCAAAATTCTAAAGACAGAAGTGAAAGACACGGACCAAAGATTACTTCAGTAACCATCCTCCCTGACCTACTGGACGGGTTCCTTTCCCAGCTTGTCTTTGTCCACCGAGGAGGCTTCTCATGGTCTGCACGTATCACCCAGACCTCCCCGAGAAGGTACTTCACCCCTTCCACAGCAAATAAACACAGAGAGTTCTTGGAGAGCCCACTTGAACAAGCTCTGGGAGGCAACCTTGATCAGCCCTCACCTTGTCTTCATGAGGACACAGAGCTGGTGGCTTCTCACCGCTCTTATGCGGCAAAGCGGGGCTTTGGTTGCACAGCCTGGATTAAAGGAGCCCGGGACGATTTAGGAGAGACATGATGAAAGAGTTACGTTTTTTAACAGACAATTCTGAAGCAGAATACTAGCAATATACAAAGTCCTTTGTTTCACTATATAAATAAATACCTGACAGCCAAACAATAATTCTCTGTCTTTTTTCAGAGCTCGACCCCAAGCCAGTGGACTTGGTAACTCTGCACACTCCTGCTGTTCCCCAAGCTGGTTCGAAGATGATCACCGTCAAAGAGTCTATAAAAAGGCTGAAGGAAGCTAGGAAATTTCCACAGAGGTGGTGCCAGAAAAGCAGAACTAAGGTTTTAGCCATCTTTGAGTAAAGCCAGGCTGCACCACTGGAATTTCATCGCTGAAGTCCAAGAGCTCCCCCAGCTGAGCTCCGGGATGACTGCAATCACAGCCAGGAAAGAGGCAAGGGCTCCCACCCCTGGAAAGTTCCAGGTCTGCTCAAAGAGAGATTCAGATTTTCTCCTCAGAAGCCAACGCTCGCTCACAGAAGAGCTTGAGCACTCATTAACAGACGCTGTCACAGTGAAGAACGAGGCAGAAATTACTTGGGCAAGGGGCATACTCTTGCCTGATGCTTGAGGGACCAGCAGGGAGGCCTGCCAAACCAGCAGTGGCATCCTGTCACAATACATCTAGTTTTGTGTTACACACTGTCATCTATGTAAGAAAACTCCACCGAATGGGAAAACATTTTGCCCAAAAACGTGGTCTGTCCTCAAAATCCTCATTTTCCCCAAACCCTTTAAGGTTTATGGAACTGAAATCCGTCTTTAGGGACTATCAGGTGTTCTCCAGCACGTCCCCCAAATCCTCAAAAGATAAGACAGAAATAAAAGTCACACAGAGCTTCGAAGATCTGGGATTCACCGGATAGAATTCCCCCATCTACAATTTCCAATTCTTTCCAATTCTTAATTTCCTCACACAAGCATGCCACCCACAGGTGTTTCGAGTTGTACTGTCTGGAGATTTGTTTTGTTTGTTTCTCTACTCTGCAATCCCTATTTCCTACGGAAACAACGGCAAACATAAGGACAGGAGTAAAAACCACTGTTCAGTAAAGATGAGGTGCAGCGAGTTTATCATCCTTACGCGATACACAGTCCATGGATATGCACACATTTTAGCTACAATACTCAAAAAATCACCTCCCAAAAACAATCTCCAAAACCAAAGAAAAAAAAAACAAAACTCAGCTTGAAGTTCCTAAGACACATGCAAGATAAAAAACAGCTTAGGTCAGACTACAAATCCTGCACGTACGCTTCTTTTAGCAGCTGTTCTGTAACTTCTGCTCACAACGGGAGAGTTCACGGAACAGCAGTTACTCTCCTGCTGTAACCAGCTTCTCTTTTCAAGGTAATCTGCTTTTATTTCTATTTTTTGAAAACGATAACCCTCCAATCCTTGGCTGGGAACAAAAAGCGAGCAGAAAACAGAGGAGGCAGAACTGATAATACAAGAGGAGCAGTTGGAGAGAGCCACGACCTCGGGATGAACGCCCGCCCGGTCAGTTGTTGGTGCCTCTCTCAGAGCAGCCAACCCTCGTGTGCTGAGGTGCTGCAAGCACCAGCCCAGAGAAGACGCTGGTTTTGCAGGTGGTCACTGGGCTGTAGGAGCAAAGGAGAGGACACTGGGCTTCTCGTGTGCTGGTGGCACCATCTACTGGAGATGGGGCGTCAGTCGAAACAGGCTGGATGAACCGCAGCCGAAGATGAAGGAAAAAACTGACAGTATCTAAACTGAGAGTGTGTCGCATTTCAGCCCTAATCCCGAAATATGGTTCTCGAGACCAAGCTCGTTTAACATCGTAAGAGATTCTGCAAAACCCTCGCGCATCCGCCTCAAAGAGAGAGACTAAGAATCAGGCATGCTGGGGAAACAGATTTCCTGACGTGCTGGAAAGGTTTAAAAAATTCACATTAAGACTCCAGCTGAATGCTGCAGCAGATTCAGCCTCTCCTTACGCTCCTTCCCCAGACCATTAAAGAACACTGGATCCATTCATTACAGCCCCTCTGCTGTCAGTAGCTTTAACATGCCCACGGGCACGACCAGCCTGGAGATACTTGGTGTCACCAGGGACTCATATTGCAGAGAAATGGGAGGATCTCGTCTGCCACTGCCAGGGCACGACGACAGCAGCTTCACAGTGACATTTAAGCTCTAATTTGCACGCAAATGTCAATATTTATTAGTCACATCAAGATCTTCAGTAAAGCTCTTCTGGGTTGCTAAGTCTCTGTGGTTATACTTTTAAATAGGAAAAGAAAAGAAGACAAAAAAAGGACAGCCTAGGTCTTGGTAACATGTTGCAGATTTCCTGGCTTAATTTCATCCTTACCTGTTGGTTGTTTTTGCAGAAAGTTATTTCCAACCAGTCTACGCATCAACAGCGTTGGAAAATGCTTATCATTAATTCTAAAAATCAACCATGAAAAAGTAAGCCTCTGACCTACCTTGTTCCTGGGAGTTGTAAACATATTTACATATTTAAATAATGGAGATTTTTAAAGTAACAGATGTTTCCTGCCTACAGCACAAGGCAGGAACAACAGCCTTTCACTGTGCAAGGGCATCTGAAGCACCCACACGCTCCCATCACCATTTGCTCTCCCAGGTCAGTGGCAGAGCTCTCCTGGGCATCAGCTCCCCAAAAGGCCCGAGTGCCGAAATTTGTTGTCACCTGTAACGTCAACGAGTCTCCCTAATTCTGCTCCTGTTCTAGAAAGCCAGGAGTTAGGCCTTTGAGCAAGTCAGCGCGAAAAAAAAATGTAAAACTGCTTTGAAACACAGAGTAGGAAAGACGGAAACTAAGTGAGAGACTAAATAGGGTGGATGAGATTAGGCAGCCCTGAAAAGAAGGTACTGCAGAGTCTCTAAGCGAGGGCAAAGGTACATCCAGTAGTGCTCTATCACTCACCAGGATTTTGGTTCCCCAAAATGCAAGTAGTTGATGCTGTACAGATCCATGTCCTCTGTATGCCAAGCAAATGTCGTTTTCCACATGCCAAAGTAGAGGTAGGGAGTGTTTACCCCTTCTATAATAATGCCACACTCGTGTTGCACCATGTCCAACAGCGTGTTCAGGTTGCCGATATTCCATTCGTCCACGTCCTGTAATTCAAAGGAGACGTTTCATACTGGAACATAACCAGAAATCGCTCAGCAGAGCACTAGCCCACAGCTTCCTTGCAGTGCCCTAAGATGTGGATATCCTAGAGTTATCTGCCTAATTTAATTCCACCTACTTCCAGAGAACTTACTTTTAGGGTTCATTGATAACCACAAAAAGGACACGTTACCGCTACTTTGTGGCAAAGGGACAGGTCACCAGCTTCTCACTAAATGCGTTCTCTGAAGAGGCATTTGTGCTACGCAACACCGAGGAACCGTTTGCCTAATAAACATAAGATTAGCTAAGGGTAAAATACACTTCTCTCAATGATATATTTCGTCCAGACATTCTTCACCTGATGAACATGTACCAGCTGATGAGAAACACCAGGCTTCAACGCAGCCCAAGTGGCAGAAGTCTCTGCACCATCTCAGTGCTTCAGATAAAGAACAGGGAAGACAGTTTTGTTATTATCAATATTTAAACAGAAAGGGCAATAAAAAGTTGTAAATCTGACAGCTGGTTTTCTCCACTTCAATGTGAAATAGAAAAAAAAAAAAGTCACCCAAACTGGTGCAAATCTTCCAACCTTGAGATTGCCTGAAGAGTAATAAAATCTCAAAAAGGAAACTGTGAGTTTCCCTCACACTCCTTGTAGCAGTTACGCATGCGAGTAACCGATGGGCACGTAAGCAATCCCAGCTTCACGCTGCAAAACTCAAGCTGCAAACCCTTGAAAGTTTCTAAATTAACCCAAAAAATCCCGTACTTGCAGCAAGGTCAGTCACGGGATGACAGGAGACACTCTTTAGGTGTGATGGGTAATTCACTTATTTCATTTCTGCTTATAGGAACTTGAAGGAAACTGAAGGAGACACCGCGTATATTCAAAATGCTGCAGAAAATACTTCCCCTAAAGTTTTTGCCTGGTCATGTCACCTCCCCTGGTCACACCTTGGAGAAGACCACGATGCTCCATGAAAGCACCAGACCCTACGGATAACCTGAACGTTGATCTGGATCGTCCATAGCTGTGAAGGCCTCAGCTACCTAAGTTTACTCCAGTTAATTCCGTTTTAAACCACACTGGTAATAAAAAGACATTTTTACATTAACACACAGCTTATACTGCAGACAAACAAAAAAAGAAAAAAGGCCACTTTCCTCTCAAAACTACAGAGGAAGGGCACTGCTTGAAATTAGCTGCCGAAACAGAGCAAAAGAAGATAAGCAACCTTTATCATTTGCTGCAGAGGAAGCCACAACAGAATTACACGGGAGAATTAAGCAGAAACCACAACAGAATCAAGCACAGGATGCAAATACACCAAGGAAAAGCTCAAACTATTTGAACTGTAAAATAATTTAGCACGTAGGTGCATTGTATCCCAATACAGCTGCTTACAAAGGAAAAAATATCCAAACACAAATATTTTCGTTGTGTTAAGAATAAAAAAATAGTATTTCTGAGGAAGCACCCAAATGCCGCTTTCTTCGGGCTCTCTAAGGCGCTTCAGCAGAAATCTCTATTTTATTCCCTTTAGAAAAAGGAAACAAAAACAAAACAACTAAACCCTGGCACGATAGAGATCAGAATCAATACTTTAATTTACCTGCATACTATCATAAATATTTGGGTATATCATTATGATAGCAGTCCTGTTTTCTTTAACAACCATTTCTGCAAGCTATATAGAATTTTCAGTCACTCGCTTTTTAAGAACTCCTCTAAATCACCTTTTTTTCCCTCATTTTTCTAGTAAAACCAAGCTTTTCACAGCTTCCATCAGCCTTACTTACCCTGAATCTCTGGGGAAGGTGAGAAGCTCAGTGAGATTTTTGTAATGAGGGAAAAAGAGGTGTTATTTGGGGGGGTTTTTTAAGGTTGCTAAATTAAATTCTGCATTACTGCTCCTAATGAAAGAACAGCTATAAGGAAGTCGGTATCCATATGTAAAGCAAATAAAAAGAGGAGCATTTCACTTACGGCGTCGTATAGCGAGCCGCTGATATCAGCCCCATAAATCGGGGAGACAAATGTCAGGTTCTTCCAGTATTTACGCTCTAAGTCTTCAAAATCTTGATGGCGGGGAGTACAGTATCTGGTAAGAAGAGGGAAAAGATAAGGATGGAACCAGTCCCAAGGAACACCCATCACCGACTGAACAGCAGCACGCTCAGGTTACTGAAGGTCCATTTCAGTTTTAATCCCGTTCAGATTCATACGATTTCCTGCCTTCTACATCGTTCTACAAAACCTCCGAGCACAGACTAACGGGACGTGCAGCACCAGATCCCCATCCCAAGGGCGCAGGAGAGGAAGGTGTCACCAGGGAGCTGAGGGCAGGTAAAGCACTCACGGATGTGCTGCGGTCCCGGTGTTTCGGAGCTGACTGCGGGAGGTCAGCACGGCTCGAGTTAAAAGCCAAAGTCCTCCAGAGCTCTGGGAAACGGATTCCGGAAGCAAGACCCAACCGCAGCTCGTAGCAGTTGCTCGTCCCAGGTAAGGGAAGCGCTCCGCCAAGTTCCCAGTCACTTGGGAAGATGCTCATGTCATGAGTTTTAGCTCGGGCACTCCAAGACCCTCATATTTCTACCTCAGGCATGGAACGCATTTTCCAGAGCAACCACGTCAAGAGCTCTCCTTCCAGTCCCAAGTCATTCTTTTCAGGCAGATTCACCACCAAATACTGACTTTGAAGAACGTTCCTATAACAACCCCCAGGAAAAGATTTAAGATACACCAAAAGCTGCCAAGCTACAAACTTGAGACTCTTCTTCAAGAAAAAGCCACTCCCTCCAAAACACGTCCTGTTTAACACGGCCACGTTTTCTTTTCGGCTTGTTTCTAGAGAGAAAGGCTTTACACACAACTCCCCCGCTCACAACGCAAGCGCGTCGCCTCACACTAACGTACTTCTCGCTGTTGGCCAGACGCCGGTACTCTCCCACAGTCATTGGTTTCTTCTGGATGTTATATTGGGTGAATAACCCCGACTGCCCAGTAACCACCTGTTGAATAGGGGCTGGGATAACCATGTCATCGATGTCGTCATATGTTTTGCGGGGTTTCCATTCTTTGGGAGGAATCACCTGGAATTAGGGAAAAAAGAAAAAAAAAGAAAAATTTGATGTTCACAGCAGGCAAACACGACTTCTACTGAAAATAAAAACTGTTGAAGTGGAAGGAATTCCATCCTGCTGCTGCAGGTCATTACATAACGGGAGCATCTCGAATGACCGGCACATCCGACAAGACACCTGTTGTGCACCTGCTGAAGCGCAGAGCTGGCTCACACGGGGAGCGGGCTCGTCGCCCGCCTGCCAGCACTCCCTCTGGCACTGACGGTGGCCAGGGACGGGAAGGAGATA